AAATAATTTTTTAATTATATTATTAAGCGGGGCGGGGACGGGTACGGGGATGAGGGTGGGGCGGGTATTAACATCCCCGTCCCCGCCCCCGCCCCCGATTTTATCAATCGGGAAAAACCCGAACCCGATAAACACGGGTTTTTCCCGTCCAAATCGGGGCAGGTTCGGGCGGGTATCCACAGGGGCAGGTTAGATTGCCATACCTAATGGGGACACCTTTTCCTTCATGGCCAAAATCACATTTGTTTTGCTATCCTTGTTTGTCACCTTTGTCGTTCTCTATATAGTTTGAAACAATCTCCTCGTGCCTAGTTTTTTTGTTTAAGCTCTGCCTTACTTTAGCTTGCCATGACTTGTGAGGTTGATCACCTAGTGTTTTCCCTCTACTTATGCATTTACCTAGTCATCCATGTTAATGGCATCGTCATTACTAGAAGTGACTCCAACGGTATCTTTAGACTCTAATTTCATCTTTAGAGACAATTTTAGACGAAAGATTTGGGTCCTCTAAATACTTCTTGGGAATTAATCTTGCCCAACCCATCTCAAGCATTGTCATTTCCCAACAAAAGTATGCTCTAAACATTTTGACCGAGACTGGTATGCTTGATTGTCGTTCTAGTGATATTAATGGATCTCAATGTGAAGCTTCTTTTAGATCAGGGGGAGCCATTGAAAGACCTAGAAAGATATCGTCACATGATAGGTATTAGGTAGACTAAATTTACCTAACTATCACTAGATTAGACATCATATTTGCGATTACTATGGTAAGTCTATGTCTACATGCTCCTTGTGATATCCACTAGGATGCTCAGTATGCATCACTCGTAGTGAATGCACAAAGTCGCAGATTACTATATGAAAATGAAGGCAATTATAAAATTGTCTACTACTCTAATGCAAATTGAGCAAGATCACCATTAGATAGGAGGTCTATGTCTAGGTATTGTTTCTTATCGGAGAGAATTTAATCTCATGGAGGAGCAATAAGCAGAACATAGTTGCTAGATCCGACGTCAAAGTTGAATATCGTGCCATGGCACTAGCTACACACAAGATACATGGCTTAGGCAACTTCTCCAACAACTAAAATTTGGAGACACTCAAAATACTAGACTGATTTGTGACAATCAAGTTGCCTTGCACATTGCATCCAATTCTGTCTTCCATGAGCGAACTAAACACATAAAAATTGACTGTCACTTTTTGAAGGAAATTGTCAGCTCCCGTGAACAATTGGCAAACATATTTACTAAATCTCTCAAGGGCTCTTGTGTTGATGACATTTGTAATAAGTTTGGTTCATATGACATATATGCTCCAGGTTGAGGGGGGTGTTAAAGAAATCAAATATGATTTTGTTATGATTCTCTCTTATGTAAGTAGGGGAATATGGAAATTTGTATAGCTGAAAATTAGGGATTGCAATAATTATCCCTTTTCCTTAATCTTAGCATTATTGATTATAAATAAAGTTGATATGCGTGATCAATGGACATAGTTTTTGTAAATCCTTTATGCTTAATTGTAAGTCCATAAACTTACATTCACCCATCCTTTCCATTAATTTTTTTTTATTTTTAATCATATAAATTTTAGATTTCAATTCAAATAATTGTCTATTAATACCCTCTCTATGTTCTTACTAGATGAATTGAGGCATTTCATGTCTCTATATATTTTATTTAAATAAAAAATAAAATAAAAAAATTAACAGAATAAGCTAATTTAATTATAAGCCTTGAGGCATTACCTTCCTAAAATCTTATAACCTTCACCTACAATCCTGTAAAAAAAATAAGAACCTTGAGAACAATTGTGTATCGACTATAGTGAGAGAAGATGAAGGTCTTTTAGTGAGATGGAAAGCAAGAGATGAGAAGAGAGATTGAGAAAGAGAGAAAGGAAATTGTTTGAGTAGTGGGAAACTTTCATTTGAAATAGAAATGTTATGTGCAATTGCTTAAGGAGGATAAAAGACTAAAATAGTCCAAAACATACAAACAAAAGCTTCTATATCTAAAGGGAGAGATAAATGGTTAGTTTTTTTACGAAAGCTTCAAAGGCCAAAATGGTCTATTAAAAATGGGGACCAAAAGTAGTTGAGGAAAAAGACATCCCCTTCATCTATTGCTATAGATTTTATAGCTTAAGATTTACACTTAAACAATGGCTTACTTTTTGAGTAAATGCTCGATCATAATAGCTCCATTAACTTGCATTCACCCATCCTTTTCAATATTTTTTATCAACAAAAAAAAGAACTAGATTCTAATTCAATTAATTGCCTAATTATTACCCTCATTTATGGTCTTATTCTATACCAATAGAGTTGTATTTTCTGACTGTCCAAGGCAATCATAGTTTATAAAACTAAGAAATACAAGTATGTGATAGGGGGTTGAGACGTCCAAGTAGGAAAGTCAATAGTAGGAGAAATATGAGCAAGGTTAACAAAAATGGATAACAACGGTGAGCCATAAATCCAACATAAACATATGACAAATGTTGTAGCAGACAAAAATAATAATAATATATATGCAAAAAAACTATTAAAAGAACAGCAAAAATAAATTTAAAACAGAAGAATGATAAACTTAAATAGTTAAATCTCAAAAGAACATGTCATAATTCATCATAATCTCCTTGGGATTCGAATCACTGGCTCTATGAATCCTATCGTATTAAACAATACATATCATGCATCATACAATACTTACTAATCAATGCACTCCATAACTTTAGATCATGCACCTCATAATCTATGGTATCACATATTAACTTTTCTCGAGGAATGTTACATAAGTCTTATGGTTTGAAGAATAGGTGAAAAAAAATTTTGTTAAAAATGGGGAAGGATAGAGTGTGAAATGCAAAGAGCAACAGACCTCATATATTTCGTTGGGATTCCAAGTTAAGGGAAAGTCTGGTATAAGAATATCAATGCCACCAGTTGCATCAACCAGCTGCAGTCTTCTAGTCAGTGTATCAATCTGAATAGTCAAAACAAAAACATGAGAACCGAAAATGAAATATTAGTAGTTATGCCAATAATCTCAAAGATTCATGTCAAAAATAGAGTTGTCTCCATTTTTAAATGATCAAAGAAAACCATTATACGTCACATAAATAAGAATAAGATAGAACTAATACAGCCATTGCAAGCGGCAGTTTGTTCATAAATGTCAAAATAAAAGATAAATTGAACTACTAGTACCTTTAGATGTCCTAGCAAAATAACACCTACATCTTCACTTCGAACAATCCTCCTAACTGATCTACCATTATATCTAGCTTCACGTGATAAAATTGTGAAATGGTTGCCCACAGGCAATAATTTACCGCGATTTTCTGACTTTAGAATTCTTAGCAAGGTGTGTATGCAGTGACAGATGAAGATAGACATTGGCATTACCTGTAATAAAAACATATATAGTAATTATATCCTTCAGAGGTTAAAAACTAATTCCTTCAAGAAAAACATAACAACTGTATTCTTTTATTGGGATGAAATGATGACTGTATGCTACATATCGGATCCAAACTTAAAGCACCATAAGAAAATTAAATACAAATACAAAAATAATACCAGTTTCAGAAAACTGCAATTCAGCTCCCTTCCGCAGCCATTCAAGTCATGTGTACACAGCCCCACCAAAGCACCATGCTACCATAGGGAAACATCATAATCAAACCAAGGCAGCAAAAAAATGGTTTAGATGAAATTTTCCCAAATGTAAATTTGTTAACAAACCTGATTTTGAAACACTGATGGAGGGAAAAGTGAATTAGCATACATCTGAGCTAGCCCTTCTTTCTGGTAAAACCTTGCAAAAATACCTTGTCAGAAATGGAACAAAACATAAAAAAAACTACAGCCAAACTAAGAACTCCTTCAACCCAAAGGAAGTAGATTACATGTTTTGATCCCAAAATATCCTTGTCAGATAAGATACCAGCAAACTTTTTACGGAAGCTTGAGACAAGAAGTAATACCCTGCCAAGCACAAGGAACAACATATATATTCTAGAAATCTCTAAAACTCTTAAGTTCCATATTAATTTCTAAAAAAAACCAAATACCAGAGTCTCGCAGAAAATGGTAATGACTGAATGAAATTCCCTAGCATACCAGTAGATGGCAAAACTACATTACACCTGCAATACTGAACTGAATTATTACTTTTCTGCAAAAGACATATGTAGGCAACTAGACAAATCAAATAAGTCAGAAACATTCAAGGAACAATCAGTGCATGATTGGTTCAGGTTATTTTGAGGAAAAAAATGTTTTTCTTGTCTTCCTTTTTGAGAGAGCTTATGAGTAAAGCATATCCAAACATGCTAATGCTATTAGTAATCAAGGGCAACCAATATTACATTAAGCAAAACATACAACAATTTGGAACATGACCATGCATGACTTCAGCTAGATGCAGTTGTTTACATACGCCCAATCTCATGGATAAAAAAGGAAAGGGTGACAACATGCATAGAACAACATAAAAGGCTTCTCATAAGCTACACATAAGGTCTACAGATTGTCTTACTTCAAGCATTTTTTATATGGTGCAAATTTGAACAGAAGCAAGTGCAATTATGTTAGCAGTACATACACAGTTTCCAACGGGGAGAAGGATTGAACGATAATGCTAGTCTTGATGCAGGCCCCAAGAATAATATTTTTTGTCCAAGAAAACTTTGGATCCACAAAATGCACATTGCTGACAGATAGCTGCAAAATGGTCATGACTTTCAATGTAAAAAAAACTATAAATGGGTAGCAGAGTATATAATATACGAGCTTAATTTATAAGCACCGTCAGTGTAAAACACTTTTACCATCAGTGCAAAAAAAAAAAAAAAATCTTCAGCGTGGTACTACATTTGCAATCTAAAAGATATCCCAAATCAAGAAAACAGCAAATTTACTTCACTTACTATGGAGCCAACTCTCAAACCATGAATCGAAGTACGCAACCGATCAGTTAAAAGGAGCCAGACGTCATGGTCCAACTCCAAAACCATCCCTTGCATGTAAACACCTTTAACTACGCCCGTATAAGCTCCACATTCACCCTTCCCCTTGATCCCAGTCTTCAAGCTTGACGCGCATTTCTCCGGACAAGAACCTACATGCAGAACCGAGCCATCCACAGTGACATACATCACGCGAGACTCCTCCTTCGTCACATAAACCATCTTCTTCTTCAAACCCGAAAACACAACGCGGTTACCAATCAGCTTAGTCATTGCAGGGTGCCACGAGGAAGCATTCCCACAAAAATACACAATCTCCAATTTGGTAAAAGAATGTCCCTCCCTGCTCTCATTCAATTTGTCAATTAACAACTCCTTGGAACCACACAACCTACACTCACAACACATCAATTGCACCAAAAACCCTGGCAAGTTCACCTTAGAGCCCGAATTCAAGTCGGAGCTACTAGCCGCCATTGTGCACGGCACCACGGAGAAGGGGCCTACGGACTCCACCACGCCGTGGACTCCTCTCGTGCCGGCGCCGGATTGTTGGCCATAATTCGGCGCTAGCGGAAGAGAGTCCACGGGGCCGGACCCTTGGTTGGGGTTGGAGAAGCGCCAATTGATGATCTCCAAGAGGCCGTGGGCGGCGTCGCTGCTGTGGCGCTTGAACGGGATGAAGTTCCAGGCGGTGACGCGGATTTCCTTGTTGAGAGCGGCGGGGCGGAAGCGGAGGAGGTCGCAGCAGAGGGTGGCGGAGGCGTCGGAGAAGCGGAGGCAGGAGCAGGGAGGGGAATGGGTGGGGAGGGTTAGGGTTCCGACGAGGACGGTTGGGCGGGGAAGGGCGGTGAGGACGCGGCGGTTGGTTGAGCGGTGCGACGGGGGCGTGGAAGAGGAGAGAAGAGAGGCGGTGGCGGTAAGAGGGCGCGGGGAGTGGAGGAGGTCCGCTAGAGTCGCCACGTTTACGTCTTCCATTGTCGTCGAAGATTGATGATGAAGCAGCAAGCAGGTTACGCCTTTCCACACCGGCGGGAACCAGGTTTTCGAAATAATTTACAATATTATAGAGGGATATATTTAAGATCTACACTTTTAATCTCCACATTTTAATAAATATTTTTTATCTCAACTTTTTAGTAAATAATTATATTTATGAAATTAAAAAATAATTTTTTTAATAATTATTTATAATTTTTAATATTTATATATTCGAGATACGAAGTATTTAGAATTTTTTGTTATTATTTAAAAGTTAAAAACTTAATTTGGTTTCTTATAATATTTGTTTATTTCAATTTAGTCCTATTTTAATTTTTTGTTTCAATTTGGTCTTTAATAATTTAAATTATTATAATGTCAAATTTCTAACCAAATTATTTAAATGGAGTTAACTATTGGCTACGTGAATGCCACGTAGATGCATAAGTGGATGCCAAATTTCTTGAATACACTTGGAACCAGAATTGTCCGTTCTTGTTGCACATGTTGTGTGTTAATTTTGCATCTGGAACGGGTTGTTCCAAATGTAAAATTAACACACCACGCGTGCAACAGAACTAGTTGTTCTGAAACCAGAACAGGTCGTTCTAGTTTTAGTACGGGTCATTCTGAATTCAGAACAGCCCGTTCCAAAACGCCAACCATATACGTATGTTCAACAAAATGTCGCAATGTGATTCAAAAATTGAAAATAAAAATTCATATATCATAAATTCAAAGACAGAAATATGGTTCAGAGACTGAAAACAAAAATTCATAACATAACATATACTAAGTGTACTATCTGTATCGTCCTACCGAGCTTGAGCTCGGCATCACAGTGCAAGACAACCTCGGATACGCGTTAGGCGACCTCGGCCAAGACGAGGTCCGTTATCCAAATAGGTCATAACTGATCTCAGGCCCAAGGCCCAACAAAACCCTAATTCATACCCAGGTACGTGCATTACTTATACGAGACTCATACTCCCACAAACCCTAACTTTAGCATCAGAGTCTCTTTTGCAGGTACCACCCCCATCTTGGAGCACCAAGCGTACTAGTGAAGGAGGCTCACCGACCTTACCCAGCGGATCATCTCTACCTCGGATCCCCGGTAAGAACATTAGGTACCACCCCCATCTTGGAGCACCAAGCGTACCAGTGAAGGAGGCTCACCGACCTTACCCAGCGAATGATCTCTACCTCGGATCCCCGGTAAGAACATTTAGCGCCCACCGTGGGGCCGATCAAGACAGCTCTTATCGACCACTCTTATGGTTTTCACCAAAAGCCATAGCAGACGCGCAACCGACGACCTAGATCACGCAACTAGCATGGATACCAAAGAAGCATGGAGGAGACTGATCGAGCGGGTCGAGCAGATGCGGCAGCAACACGCGGCCGATCTACAAAGCATGCGTGCCAAGCCCAAAACTGACCTAGCCGCAATGCGTACCGCTAATGAGGCTGACCTAGCGGCGCTACGCGCCGAGAATAAGCGTATTCGCGCTCAACTCCCTCGGCGTCCCTCTAATCAACCCCCTCAACAGAGTAACCTGCATGAGGAGGAAGGGCACTCGGTTTCTCAACCGCCAACAACGACTAGGGCACCTACTCTTAGGCCTGCCACACATCGGTCGCTCCTGCCCACGTCACGGGAAATCAGGCGACCTTCCGCCGTCATCCTTTTGTGGATGGCATCATGGAGACGCCCCTCCCCTTTGGATGGAAACCTCTCCACCTCGATCGCTACGATGGCACGACAGACCCAGACGAACACATCAATTTATACACCACACAGGTAAACCTCTATACTAATGAGGATGTTATACTGTGTAGGGTCTTTCCGACCTCGCTCAAAGGGGCCGCGCTCAATTGGTACACCTAGCTACCTGCCGAGTCAATTGATAGCTTCGGCACCCTAGTCAGACGGTTCACAGCACAGTAAGCGACAAGCCGACCTCATCACATAATGTCAGCTGCCTTGGCCAGTCTCAGACAGAGCGACGACGAACCACTCCGGACGTTCATGGAACGATTCGCTGCCATCTAAGTAAAGATCCGAAATCTAAATCCCGAGGTCGCCCTACACGCCATGCTCATGGCACTCAAGCCTGGACCGTTCGTCAACAGTCTATGTCGTGAAGCTCCTCGCGATATGGACGAGCTCCGTGCCCGTGCTGCTGGGTACATCCAAATGGAAGAACATTCTGCCTTCCGTGACCAGGTTCGCAGAAAATCACAAGCAAAGCCCGACAGTGGCCACAAAGACAAGATGAAGGTCACCAATGATAGCCAGTTCAAGAAAACTGCTAGGACAAGCAATGGGGGAGATACGACTTCTACACTCCCCTGAATACGCCCCGAGTTCACATCCTGGAAGAGGCAAGTAATAGCAATCTGCTCACCCTGCCACCACCAGGTCACACTCCCAACAGTGCAGACAAGTCCAGACACTGCCGATACCACCAAAACCACGGTCACACCACTGAAGAGTTCCGCACACTCCGAAACCGTATCGAAGAACTCATCCCAGGCAGGTCACCTCGGCCAATATGAACACCATTGTGTATATATTCGATGGTTCTTTTGTTTTTCGAACTTGCGTGTTTTTGTGCTTCTGCGTTTTGCATTTTTCCAGGGCTCAATTTTGGCCTGATGTAACTGATTTGTTCTTAGGCTCGAACTCAACCTTTAGAATGCCGTAAATTTTACAAAGGTTCGAACTCGACCTTGGCTTTAGGGTGAAACAGATCGTGTTAGGGTTCGAATCCGACCTCGGTCTGACGTAAGGTAATTCGTACTAAGGTTCGAACTCGACCTCGAGCTGATGATACCGAGGTTCGAACTTGACTTCGTTTTGAAGTATAATGATCTGTATGGAGGTTCGAATTCGACCTTGATTTTACGTAAGGTAAGAATGAAGGTTTCGACGATAACAAAGTATAGATTCTGACAATCAAAGCTGCCCAAGGACATCAACAAGTCAAAAACAAAGTCAAGAAGAAAATATGACTATTATGTTGTGTAATAGGAGTAGCTCATAAATTGTATTATTTTGTTGAGCTTATTTTGCATGTGTGTGCTTTGTGCATAGGTTAATCGTTATCTAATCTAACTAAGAGTGAGTATGATGATGAGTTAGAAACTTGAAAATTTATTTTGAGACATAAAACAGAGTTTTTGAAAACTGACTAAAAATAATCGATTATCATTAAATATAATCGATTATTCCAACAACAGGTAAAAAGGATTCCTTGTTGCAATAATCGATTATCCCAGGAATCACTCTCTGGAATAATCGATTATCCTGCAAAATAATCGATTAATCTGTTCTTGGTTGATTTCCAGAAATCATGAAGAACAAAATAATCGATTAATCTTATCTGAAACAATTTGATCAATTATATTTGTCATCATCAAAAAGGGGGAGATTGTTAAGAAAGAAGAAGCAATTTCCAGGAAGGTTTTAAGTATGACAAATATAATACATGTTGTTATCTCTAACAAGCGTGTTAGTGTTTCAGAAGGACATGAGTACAGGAAAAATGAAGGACAAACATATGCATCAAATGATATAAGATGGCAGACGAAAAGCCAGCACATCCAACAAGAACAAGATGATAGCGCATCAAGCACAATCTAAGGAAAAACATAAAGACTCAGACGCAAGATGGTCAACGACCAAAAAGAAACTCCAAAATAAATAGAAAGTCTGACCATATATATAAGTTTACCAGACGAAAGGAAAAGTCAATATGTTAAAAATAAATGCTCAAACAAAGGTCAAAGTTTGAACTACATATAGAGTACCAGACGCAGACGAAAATTGTCAAGCAATCACCTGAGAAATCAAGCCTCAAAGAACAATTTGAATATCTTCCACACTCACAAGAGAACACACGAAGTCATCTGAATTGTAAGAAGAAAAGAGGAAAGGAGAAAATCAAGCGCAGAACTAGAAGCATGCATGTGTTAGAAAAAGTATGTTACTTTTTTAGACAAGGACAAAACTTCATGCAAGGTCTATCACAAGAAACAACATTTAATGCAAGAATCTAAGCATTAAATAACAAGATCAAACGGGTCATAAACGACTATGTCTGCTTCAACGAACACTTGCAACGGGCAGATTTCACAAGACTATATATAGGTCTCAACATCAAACCTTAAGAGGTTGGCTGTTTGGCCCAAAATGGTTCAAGCTAGAAAAGGAATGAAATCCAGCCCATAAGAAAACAAAAATAAGAGATAGAGCATGTAGAGTCAAATGTACCTTAGTGTAATTCTCTCTGTAAACTAAGGAACTCTAAATGTGTACATCTTAGAAGCAAAACCTTAATGAGTGTAGATCATATATGTATCCTCTCTGTGAGAGTAACCCATAAACACTCAAGCTTGACTGTCTATCTAAAATTTGTAAAGCCTGAAGAGGCTAGGGAAAGCATAATTGTAAAAGCCCGGAGGGG